GGTCTGTGGTATTTTTGAAAAACCCAAACTTTTGGTGTTATAAAAACAAAACTTCAAACTATGGTATTTTTGAGAATTCTGAAAATACTACTTGTGAATTCATCTTCTCTCCCTCTTGAGACTCTCAACGATTAGATACCAGATATGAAAATGCTCGGTGTCTATGGAAACAGAAAGCAAGATGTGTTTCAGATATGAGAAGGCACATATTTTTTCTTTTTTGATAAAGAGAGAAGGCACATTAGTTGATCAGAAACGAAGATTCTCCATTACTTTGGGGAATATATGATTAAGGGTGTGTCAAAGCTAATTTTAATCATTATTTGAAGGACATCTTATTGTGAAAGACTGAAAGTGATCAAATTGACTTATTTTTACATTTTTCTTAAGGTTGTGCATTGATTTATTCAGACAATTGATGTTAGAATGGATGATGCTCATATCTTACATTGGTTAAGTATTACTGTTTTTATTGATCTTAATGTTATATCTAATTTCTAAATTTTCTCAAAATAAGAATATTAGATGAAATTTGTAAATAGTAAACTAAAAGTATCAAATTTTCAAACACAACCATTGTTTGATTTTTTTTTGAACAAACTTTTTAGTGGTTAAAAATTACGGAATCTTGTCAATAAAATATGAAAAATTTAAGAACTAGAGAGTTTTCAAAACCTAAATGTTTAAAATAGGTAATCACAAATCACAATTTGCTAATTAGACAAATTCTACATTGCCACTTTTTTGGGTTCACACATAACTGTCACTAAATATCATTATTTACATGTGTCAGCGATGTCTACGTTTTTTTTTTTTGTTATTTTGAGAAAATCGATTATTAACAAAAAGTTGTCCCTTACTTTAACAAGAATATATAAGGAATACCACTGCTTTTCGTTTACCTACTTTCTTTCTTCTCCGTTTGTCGTATACTAGATTCCCTTCATTGCAGCAAGACAGTAAATATAAAATAACGCTTGAGAGCAACATAGAACCAAACATCAGTAACGTTCTGTGTGTCATTTTAGTGATTCACGAGATATTCATTAGAGTTCTTGTGTCTTTGCTTAATTTTGGATTCTTCTAAATTAGGTTTCTTC